AAGAATTGGCACAAAATATTGGGCACAACCAACCATCCTGGGACCCCTCCTGGCTCTTTTCATGGTTACCAGACTTTCACTGGTTAAAAATTCTCATTGCAAGCATAATCACAGTCATCGTAGGCAGAGTCATCCTTTCTTGCCTATGTCAGTTAATCCCTTTAGGCTTAAGATGCCGCAAGATCTGCACGGTCCCTACCAGAACTAACAAGCATGATGTGCCAAATTGATCGTCACTATCAGGTCTATCTAGAACAGTGTTTCTCAACCTTGACAATTTTAAGGCATGTGGACTTCAACTCCCAGAATTCCACAGCCAGCATTGCTGGCTGTGGAATTCTGGGAGTTGAAGTCCACATGCCTTAAAATTGTCAAGGTTGAGAAACACTGATCTAGAATCAGTTGGGCTAATCATTGGAACACCAGTGATAGCCCAAAATGGGGGAACTGATGAGAAACCCTCTTCACCCCAATAAAAGGATATAATTTAATCAAACAAAATACATTAGCCAATACAGGAAAAAAAAAACCAATGCAAAGAAAATCAGTCTGACTCAGGTCCAACCTAAGCAACCCCAGGTGAACAAACACTTAACATACCAGATACAAAGTGTCAGCTTAAACATTTAAAATAAGCTTAACCGCCAGAATGCAAACCGGCTATCAACAACTAAGACCGGCCAGGATTAAAACAAGGACCCAAAAAGACATACATAATAATAACAAATAGGTAACAAATAGAAACATATCAGATCCTCCCGAGGCAAGGATTAACCTTTTTTCCTGAGCAATATCTAATAAATTCACCCATCAATAGACACTGCTCTACAAATCAGAAATGAGAGTTTTGAAAACCAAGAAAAGGTATAGAGCAGTGGTTCTCCACCTGTGGGTCGGGACCCCATTTGGGGTCGAACGACCACTTCAAAGGGGTCGCCAAACAACGCAGTCTGCCATTTTTTCCCCCTTTTCCTTAGCTGTGCTACTCCCTTTTATTCTATTGGCTTTTGAAAGCCAATAGAATAGACTCTCTTGAATAGAGTCTAATTCTATTGGCTTTCAAAAGCCAATAGGAATTGTCCAGGCTGTCTCTGCCCTGCTGAGCCCGCCAAAAGTCCCATTCTGCAAACGGTGCTGCACCAGTTGAGTAGTCCTCGACTTACGAGCGGTTGAGTAGTCCTCGACTTACGACCGGTTGGGGGTCGCAGCATTAAAAAGGTTGAGAACCACTGGTATAGAAACTCATGCTTGGGGAACACTTTTCCTAGCTAGCGGGGATTCATGCTGAATTGTCACTCAACTTTGAGCTCCGCGATTAAACCTCTCTTTCCGGTGCTGGCTTCCCGTTGCATTTGTTCTTCAAGCTCTGATTGCGGAAATCCCAGCTGGAAGAGCCAAAAAGGGGGAGTTCCTCCCAATAATTCCAGGGAAACTTTCATCCTGTAAAAAGCTTTGACCTCCTCAGAGTTAACCTGATCTCTACGTTTTTGGGGTGCGTCCTTTAAGATGCATCCCACAGAATCCAATATAGGCCTTAAACCCTATATGACAGTCGCAATGTCCTGGGGTCACGTGATTCCCTTTTGCGACCTGCTGCCAAGCAACACTAAGAGGGAAGCCAGCTTAACTGCAGTGATTCGCTTTACAACTGTGGCAGGGAAGGTCTTAAAATGGGGCAAAACTCACTTAACAAATGTCTCAGCAACATAAATTTTGGGTTTAATTGGTTGTACCAGGGTACCTGTGGTCCACAATCCTGTAATGGACAGGACACTGGAGGCTTTGGACAGCCACATTGGACAGCCACTTTGGACAGCCATATTGGACAGCCACTTTTTTGAAATGATATAGCACAGTGGTGGCGAACCTTTTAGAGACAGAGTGCCCAAACTGCAACCCAAAACCCACTTAGGCATTGTCGGGTGCCGGGTGGGTGTGGCCAATTGGGTGGGTGTGGCTGCGGTGGTAAAAGCAGACTGGGTGGGACTAAAAAGTTCAATCAATCAATTCCAACTTTCCCGCGAGAAGTTGAAATTGACTGATTGATTGAACCTTTCTTTTTTTTGCACATGGCAGTGGAGGCCTAAAGTGAAAAGGTTTTATAAAATCCAGCTGAAGACTTAGGACTGGGACGACGGTGCGCGTGCCCACAGAAAGGGCTCTGAGTGCCGCCTCTGGCACCCGTGCCATAGGTTCGCCACCACTGCTATAGCATTTCCTGCTTGAGCAGGGTGTTGGACTAGATGACCTCCAAGATCCCTTCCAACTGTTATTCTGTACTCTATATTCTTCTACTGGATGCTGACCAGGGGCTTCCTTTGCTGGCAGAACATTTGGCTACAGGCTTTTTCCAAAATTAGAAACATATTTGATATATAAGTAGTCCTCAACTTATGACAATTGAGCCCAAAATTTCTGTTGCTAAGTGAGACATTTGTTAAGTGAGTTTTGCCCCATTTTACAACCTTTCTAGCCATAGTTAAATAATAATAATAGTAAAGTTGGAAGGACTTGGAGATCATCTAGTCCAACCCTCTGCTCAGACAGGAAACCTATACGAGTTCAGACAAATGGCTGTCCAGTCTCTTCTTAAAAACCTTTCAGTGTTGGAGCATTCACCATTTCTGGAGGCAGTTGTTAAGTGAATAATTGCAGTTGTTAAGTTACTCACATGGTTGTTAAATGAACCGTCATAACTATGAGTCAGTTGCCAAGCACCCAAATTTTGATCAGGTGAACATGGAGATGCTGCAACGGTTGTGTGAAAAACAGCCATAAGTCAGTTTTTTCATGGCTGTTGTAACTTTAAACAATCATTAAATAAACTATAAGCTGAGAACTACCTGTATTTCTTCTATTTATTGAAGGCAGATGTTTGCCAGCTGTCTCTGTTAGTGAAATTAAACAGACGCAAATAAAATACAGCACGACAATAAAGGCGCAAGGATAATCAGAATCACACATAAGGGTGCTGGTGTGATAGTGATAGGAAATTTTATAAGTGCTGGAAGAGAATCTAGTTGGAAAGGTTGTAAAATCGGACATGATTCCCTTAACAACCACCTTGCTTAGCAATGGTAATTGTGGCCACAAGTCGAGGATTACTTGCACAGAGAATACTACAGTCATAAAGTCAATTCCTGATTTGCTATGAGAGACATTTTTGCTCATAGCAAAATGTATAGATAGTCCTCAATGTACATCCACAATTTAGTCCAAAATTTCTATTGCTAAGCGATACAGTTGTTAAGTGAGTTTTGCCCCATTTTACAACCTTTCTTGCCACAGTTGTTAAGTGAATCACTGCAGTTATTAACTGAATCATACAGTTGTTAAGTGAATCTGGGCTTCCCCACTGACTTGGCTTGTAAGAAGTTCGCAAAAGGGGATCATATGACCCCGGGACACCGCGACCGTCATAAATATGAGTCAGTTGTCAAGCATCTGAATATAAACCCATGACCAAGAGAATGCTGCAACGGTCATAAGTGTGAAAAAATGGTCATAAGTCACTTTATTCAGTGCTGTTGTAACTTTGAACTGTCACTAAATGAATGGTTGTAAGTTGAGGCCTGCCTGTATTACAAGAGGCAATAAAAGTTATTGTTTAGGTTGTTTTTAATCATTCTACCACCACCCTCACACCATTTTGTGAAATTCCTGGAAAAGCAACAAATACAGGTAGTCCTCGACTTATGACCAGTTCAAAGTTACAATGGACTGCCCTCAGAAGTATTTAAGACGAGGAGGAGGAGGAGGAGGAGGAGGAGGAGGAGGAGGAGGAGGAGGAGATAGACAAGGAGGAGGAGGAGGAGGAAAAGAGGAGGAGGAGGAGGAGGAGGAGGAGAGGAGAAGGGGGAGGAGATAGACAAGGAGGAGGAGAAGGAGAAATAAAAGAGAAGGAGGAGGAGGAAGAGGCAGAGAAGGAGGAAGAGGAGGAGAAGAAGGAGATAGACAAGGAGGAGGAGGAGAAGGAGAAGAAGGAAAAGAGAAGGAGGAGGAGGAGGAGGAGACGAAGGAGGAGGAGGAGAAGGAGAAGGAAAAGAGAAGGAGGAGGAGAAGGAGGAGGAGATAGACAAGGAGGAGAAGGAAAAGGAGACAGAGAAGGAGGAGGAGGAGACGGAGAAGGAGGAGGAGAAGATTAGCCTGCCCCTGTTCTCCTTACAAATATGACTTTTGAAATATCTGGAGAAATGCAACTTAATGGGCATGACTTTTAATTAGATATTATCAAAGACTTTGCAGTGATAGTTTCTGAAAAGGTGGCAGAGGCAGGAACATTGCAGATATATTTTTTTTTCTGTCCCAGATCATCTCAATTAAGTTCAAGTAGTCCTCGATCTACAACCACAACTGAGCCAAAAAAATTGGTTTCTAAGCGAGATATTTGTTAAGTGAGTTTTGCCCCATTTGTGCTTCAAAGAAACATTAATCAAAAGCGCTTCTTGTTACTTAAAACAGTTATTTAAAGATTGGTCAACATTTGAGGGGCTGGCACAAAGGAGGGGGGGGGAATCAACCTCTTCTCAAAAGCACCTGAGGGCAGGAGAAGAAACAACGGGTGGAAACTCATCAAGGAGAGAACAAACCTGGGATTAAGGAAGAATTTTCTGACAATGGGAACAATTAATCAGTGGAAGAGCTTGCCTGGAGAAGTTGAGGCTGCTCCATCACTGGAGAGTTTTTAAGAAATAGGGCTTTCTACTTGAGCAGGAGGTTGGACTAGAAGACCTCCAAGGGTCCTTCCAATTCTGTTATTCTATTAAAGAGAGTCCCTCTTTTGCTCCCATCACCAGCTGTCTAGGATGGAGAACCTTCTCTAGATGATTCACCTCTGCTTTTTCTTCTCATAGATCTTGAAAGCTTCTCCTTCTCCTCCTCCTCCTCCTTCTCCTCCTCCTTTTCCTTCTCCTTTTTGGAAAAAAACCAAGAACGATTATGGTTTTCCCTACTTGACTTCTCTGATGAGGCTTCGACCTCCATGTTCTGTTTCCTTCCAGGAGAAGACCAACAGCCACAGAATGTCTTCAGTCTTCATGGCTGCAGGAGACCGGCTTGGACGAACACCAACAAGCCACGGTGACCTTCTCCACCACCAAGCTGAGAAATTTTGTGGCCGAACGTGAAAGGAAAAGAGTCCTCCTCTCTTCAAAGTATGGTGTGACGGCTGTGTAGCCAACAAAGCCACCCTCACACAATCTCTTTCTGGCTTTCTGTGGCTCCCCGCTAAGCAGCACATTGCCGAGCATTCAGAAGTGTGCAGGCTGAGACATTTATTAGGATCACGGAAGAGGCCACAGCCACAACAGAGGGATGCATTTTATTTATTTTACTAGCTGTACCTAGCCACGTGTTGCTGTGGCTCAGTCTGGTTAAATGGAAAAGAAAGAAAAGAGAAAGCGCCTGTTTGTAATATGTTTAATTTCACAATGCTTGTGGGTATACAATATTTTTTGTTGTTCCATTGTCTGTGCAGATATAAAGATTGTCTGAAATCATAGCGTGTGTTGCTTTTATGTCCAACAGATGGCGCTGTTTTTCAAAAAAGCATGTTTTTACCTGTCACAGGTGTGACATCTATATAATAGTAGGTATATAAAAACATAAAAACACGCGCGTATTCGAATGCAACGTTGTGTCAAAATTTCAAAAGAATCGGTGAAGAACTTTCAGAGATTTAAGATTTTGAACAAACGAACATTTACATTTTTATTTATATAGATAGTAAGGTTCCTCTCACATTCTCAACAAAGTGGAATAATTAACAGATTGGAGAAAGTGAAAGTTGGGTGATTCCTAAGGGATTATCTTAAACCTGAAAGATTATCTTTTTCCAAAAGCAATTTAAAGATGGAGGCAACCCACAGAAGGAGCTTATGAAATCTCTGGCTTATTTTATTTTATTTTTTTGCAAAAAAAGAAAGTATTTATGAAAAATCTGTTTTTTAGAGGGGGAGGGGAGAAGAATCTAGACAATATTTTCTATCTGTTGTTCCCCATCAGGTGAGCATGCAAATGTCCACACACCTTACAACATTTCACAAAAAAAGATATATAGAAGATTTAGATTTAAATTCATTTTTCATTTTAATTTAATTAAAGGTAGTTTTATTAAACTAAATTTAATTTAATCTTAATTATTTAACTAATTAAAGAATTTATTTAATCAAAATGAAATTAATAAACTGAATTAATTGACTATAAACTGGTTTATGAATTTTGTTTTATGAATCTTTTAGATTTAATAATTATTAATTATCCGATGTCAATGTTAAATAATTAATTAAACAGTTTCCTTTTGTTGCCTTTATTTCTTTTCCCCCTGTTGCATTCTACATTCACAGGTGCAGAGAAAGCTCGTTGTATTAGGAAAGAAAATCGCTCTGCCTTAGAAAACTTCAGCCTTTGCTGAAAATACATACATACATACACACCTAATAAAACTTTGCATTAAACAACAGAGTAAATTTCATTAACAGTTGGATGAGTTTTGATGGCTTTACAGCTCTGGCTTTTGACATGTGAATATCCTAGGGCGAAAATACGCAACAATACTCAGACAATAAATCATTGTCACCCTGAGAACACCCGTAATTTCAATCACAATCACAATGTGTTATAGCTTCCTGCAAAAATAATCCTAGACATGATACTCCTCCTGAGGTGGCTCGTGTAAGCCAGTCAAGCTGCATGCAGGCCTTTGGACAAACTACCAGCTGTTCTTTTCAAATTAGTTGGTTACTGCTTCTTTTGCAATGAAGAATGAATTGTCTGGCTGTTTATCACCGTAGGAACCTAGTTTTGCAATCAAGAGATCCAGTCTTATTGCTTCATCTGTTTTAAAGCAACCGATTTGCTGTGTTTTTTTTAATCAAATAACTGAACTATTTTTTCTTCCTCGTGTTGACTTTTTTTTACAAAAAAAAAGAAAGAAAAAGAAAAATAGCCTAGTGGAACAGAAAAAAATTAAATTGCAGGGCTGCCTTTTGATTTCCCAATTATTTAAGAAAACAGACCTACCTATTTATATGTGTGGCTATATGCCCCAGTAAATAAATACTCTAATCCAAATAAATGTTTGTTGCTGTGGTTCTTTGTAGCTTTTGCTAGTGCTGGTAACTCTGGAGTTGCTTTGTTCTTCTTAGTACAGAGAGTCCTCGACATATGACCAAAATTGAGACCCAAATCTCCATTGCTAAGTGAGTTTGGCCCCAGCTTGTGAATTTTCTTCTCCCCGTTATTAAGTGAATCACTGCAATTTTTAAGTTAGTCTTATGGCTGTTAAGTGAATCTGGCTTCCCCCATTGACTTTGCTTGTCACAAAAGGGGATCATGTGACTCTGGGACACCGCAAAGGTCATAAGTATGAGTCAGTGGCCAAGCGTCTAAATTTTGATCATGTGGCGGTCGTAATTGGGAAAAATGGTCATGTCACTTTTTAAAGTGAAACTTTAAATAGTCACTAAATGAATAGGTGTAAGTCGAGGACTCCCTGTTTTGAAAATGCCCATAAGCAGAGTCCATTCAGGTCTTCTGAAGCAGTTCTTATCATCTCAAATATGACTAAGCGCTAACTTCAAAAAGATCATTTACTTAAGCAACTGCACAGACTCACTTGGCTTTGTTTAGCTTAAATAAGCTGCAGCTTGTTGAGCAATGGATTTCAAAAGCAAAACCCCCAGGAAGCCAACACAGACCCAGGTTTTATTTTCATGGAATATATGGGTCAGTTAGCAATCATGTACATGTGGGCTCCAGGTCAGAAAGAGAGTGACCTTGATAGAAGGAAGGAAGGAAGGAAGGAAGGAAGGAAGGAAGGAAGGAAGGAAGGAAGGAAGGAAGGAAGGAAGGAAGGAAGGAAAGAAAGAAGAGAGAGGGTACGAGAGAAGGAAGAAGAGAAGGGAAAGGTGAGTAAGAGAAGGAAGGAAGGAAGGGGGAGGGAGGAAGGAAGGAAAGAAAAAGGGAGGGAGCGAAGGAAGAGAAGGGAAAGTCAGAAGAAAAGGTGAGTAAGAGAAGGAAGGAAGGGAGGAGAGAAGAGAAAGTGAGAAGAGAATGAAAGGAGAAAAAAGAAAGAAAGAAAAAGAAAGAAAGAAAGAAAGAAAGAAAGAAAGAAAGAAAGAAAGAAAGAAAGAAAGAAAGAAAGAAAGAAAGAAAGAAAGAAAGAAAGTCAAAATTCTATTTTTAAAATCTGGTTTCCAACACCTTTTGTGTACGATGGGAATCAAATGACTTTTTTAAGCCCGTGTCTTTCATGTCAGAACTCAGCGCTGCTTTGTTAATTGTTTACCTTGAACCCAGAGCCATGGAAGGAGAGGCCTTGCTACCGATTCGATCACAGGAGGAAGAAAGAAACCAGATCTCCCTCTGGCAAAGTGACACAAGAGAGAGCCTGTAGATGGAAGAAATCCCTCTCCTCTTGCAGCTGTTTTTTTTAATCCCTAAGTAGCTTACTTACTTACTTCATAGCATACTCAAATTGTTTTGTGCAGAGAAAGAGAGAAAGATATTTTAGACTCCCCTCATTGCTTACTCTGAGGGGAACAGACCAATATACAGCAGGAAAGAACAACCTTAAATTTGTCCTTGAACTACACCTGTGGGTAGATAAATAAAGCTATAAAGCTCTAAATCCAGTGTTGCTAGCACATAGCTTATCCGAGAGTTCCAAAGTCCGAAGGAACCTCAGAGGATATTTAGTCCGACCCGTTTCTTGAAATAAAGCAAAACGGCGACGCAAAATATATCAACGCAAGGATTTGGGGGGGGGTGTGAATCCATGTTGCATTTGCACTACAGAATTAAGAACAGGATCACCTGGTGAGAATTTTGATTTCACGATGGGACAATCAGAATTCATTCTACAGGTTGTCCTCAACTTATGACCACAATCAGGATGGGGATTTTCATTGCTAAGCCCTTAATTTAACAACCATGTTACTAATTTAAGTGAGCTGCACCCGATTTTACCACTTTTTCTGCCACAGTTGTAAAGCAAATCCCTGCAGTTGTTAAGAGAATCACATGGTCATTAAGTGAATCCTTCCCCCCCTACTAGCTTTGCTTGTCGGAGGCCAGCTGAGAAGATCACAAATGGAGATTATGAGACCCTGGGACTCAGCAACGGTCATAAATACATGCCAGTTGGAAAGGACCCAATTTTGATCACATGACTGTAAGATGCTGTGACGGTCGTAAGGACGAGGCCTGGTTTTAAGTCACATTTTTAGCAGTGCTTTTGGTAACTTTGAATAGTCACTAAACGAATGCTTGTAAGTCGAGAGCTGCCTGGAATATATTTTATAGCTTGTACTCAACAACTTTTCAGCTGAAAAATGCTCTGATATATTTATTTAAGAAAATTTATACCGGTAGTCGTTGGCTTACAGCTGTTCGTTTAGTGACCGTTCAAAGTTATAACAGTACAAACAAAAGGGACTTATGACTATTTTTCCACACTTGATGACATTGGAACAACCCCAGGATCATGTGATCAAAATTTGGACACTTGACAACTGATTCATATTTATAGCGGTCGCAGTGTCCCCGGGCTTTCATGATCCCCATTTTGCATCCTTCTGACAAACAAAGTCAATGGGGAAGCCGGATTCACTTAACAACCGGGTTACTAACTTAATAGCCTCAGTGATTCTTGTGGTAAGAAAGGTTGTAAAATGAGGTAAAATTCACTTCACAAATATCTCACTTAATAACAGAAATTTTGGGCTCCACTATGGTGGTAAGTTGAGGACTATTTGTACAAAAACCTATAAACCTCCACTTCTCCCTTTAGCGAAGAGTTTCAATTCTGTTTCTCATTTTTCCTTTTGTTTTATATTATTGTTGAGCTTTAAAGCTGTGTTCTTCTCATCTCCTTTATTTAAATTATTTCATCCCCTGCCCTGTTTTGAAATAACTTGGCCAGAAGCCAGGAACTGTGGAATTCTGAGTCATCCCTGCCAGGAAAAATAACAAAATTCACTTGCAAACATAAAACGAATTTCTGTTTGAAAGTGAATTTGGGTGCCTTGGGGGTCTGATGAAAGAAAGAATAATTATTACAATGATGAAGCAGAAATAATAACTATAGATAGTCCTCGACTTACGACTGCTTGATTAGTGACTGTTCAAAGTTACAATGGTGTTGAAAAAAAGTCACTTATGACTGTTTTCAATACTTACGACCGTTGCAGCATCTCCAATGGGGCAAAACTTACTTAACAACCGTCTCACTTAGCAATGGAAATTTGGGGCTCAGTTGTGGTCGTAAGTCGAGGAGTGCCCATATAAAGCCAGAATTGATGGTTTGATGCTGTCCCCTCAAATAGGGCTCATCTCCTAGCGAGCACACAAACAAAATGCAGAATAACAGAGTTGGAAGGGACCTTGGGGGTCATCTAGTCCAACCCACTGCTCAAGCAGGAATCTCTATTCCATTCTGGACAAATGGCTGTCCAATCTCTTCTTTAAAACCTCCAGAGATTTAGAAAGCTTTGAGCATGGCTTTTAAAAACAAACTGTAAAGGGGTGGGTATTTATTTCCTTTTTCCTTAGCTTTCCATTGGAAGAATAAAATAAAATTTTGCAATCTCTATCATTGTCATGTTTTTACTAGCTCAGCAAAATGACACTTTGGTCAATGTTTGCCATAGCCAAAGTTCACTTTTCTTCATGTTTCCTCTGTCCACATCTGATAAAAACAAGGGCACAGACCTTGTTTGTGACCTTCAGACAAGCAAAGCCAATGGTGAAGCCAGATTCACTTAACAAGCAGGTTACTAACTAATCAACTGCAGTGATTCACTTAACAACTGTGGCAAGAAAAGTCATAAAATGGGCAAAATTCACTTAACAGATGTCTCACTTAGCAATAGAGATTTTGGGGTCAATTGTGGTCCTGAGTTGAGGACTAGCTGCATTTTTGCTACTCACAAAGGAAGAATCCCTTATCTGGAATTCCTCTGTCTCTTCAAAAGCCCCTTAGTACATTTCACTAGGAACCTCAGATCAATAAAAGACACAACTCCATTTGTGTACATTAATATGCTGGCTCTGGATGCACTTAAAAAAATATAGCAAGTTTGGAAAGCTAAACTTGAACTGGAAAGGAAGGAAAGAAAAACCATTTGGGAGGATTAATTTCAGGAAGGCTTCTGGATTGTTTTTTAGTGCAAGCTAAGTGTGCAAAAAGAAAGGAAGGAATTAATACGAAGAGAGACAGACAGACATACACACACAGCCTGATTTCATAACATAAACAGTTCATTGGTAAGACATCCCTGGTTATCCTAGATTATTGTGTGAAAGCTAAATGTGCAAAAGGAAAAGAAGGAGTTAACACACACACACACACACACACACACACACACACAGAGTCTGATTCCATAACATAGAGATAAATTAGTTTACCAGGGACATACCCCTGGTTATCCTAGATTATCGTGTGAAAGCTAAGTGTGCAAAAGGAAAATAAGGAGTTAACGCACACACACACACACACACACACACACACACACACACACACACACACACACACACAGAGGGAGTCTGATTCCATAGCATAGAGATAAATTAGTTTACCAGGGGCATACCCCTGGTTATCCTAGATTATCGTGTGAAAGCTAAGTGTGCAAAAGGAAAAGGAGTTAACACACACATGCACACAAACACACACACACACACACACAGAGTGTGATCGCATAACATAGAGATAAATTAGTTCACCAGTGACATACCCCTAGTTAAGCTAAGTGTGCACAAATAAAGGGGTTAACACACACACACACACAGAGAGAGGGGGGGGGAGGGAGAGAAATTCTACTACATAGAGATAAACCAGTTCATTGGTGAAATCTCCCTGGTTATCTTGGATCATCGTTTGTGGATCGCAGCCTTGGCCTTTAGCACCGGCATCGGTACCTAAATTGGACATCATTCATGGGTTGCATCACCCCAAACCCATAACGGGTCTTGTTGATGAGAGGGATCTCTTCCTGCTGATTGATCAGTTCCAGATCAAAACAAGCCAGCATCAGGAAGGTGAAAAGCTTGATTTCGTTAGTGGCAAAGTAGCGGCCGGGACACATGGAGGTCCCAGCTCCCCAAGGCATGGTGAAATATTTCACCTTCTCGCCATTCTTAAAAAATTCCTTTTTGTTGCCGTTTTGGCTGAGGAAACGGTCATATTTGAAGACCTGGGGCTCTGGATGGATTTCAGGATCCATGTGGGCCGAGAGATAAGGAAAGAGGCCGATTTTGTCACCTTTACGCAACAGGTAGGACTTCCCATTGTGGAGCTTCAAGTCCATGTCTTGTAAAATCAGCCGGATCAACAATGGCGCTGTCACCAACCTCAGGGTCTCTTCCACAGCGCTGTCCAGGATGGGCGTTTGGTTTAGCATCTCCTTGGTGACATTCAAGGGCTTCTCATGGGAGGTCACCTCTTGGCCTGACTTCTTCACTACCTCCAGGATCTCCTTCTTGACCTCTTCCATGGCTTTGGGATGCTTCATCAGGTACTCCAGAAGCCAGAAGGAAGCTGGACCAGTGTTACCTTGAGCGGCCCAAAGGAGCAGGAACATGAACCGGTCTCTCATCTCTTCTGAAATTCCACTTTCGGCCAGCTGTTGAGCCTGGTCACTGATCCACTGGCTGATGTTGTCCTTCTGGTAGATGTTCTTCACCGAAAGCACCTGCCAGAAATAGTTCCAGAGGTTCTTCATTTGGCCCCACTCCCACGGGGTCAACAAGGCGTATGATAGACGTGGGAAGAGTTTGTCGTATTTGCGGAATTCGATGTACACCTCTTCGGTGTGATGCTGGTCTTTTTGTTTTGCCTTTTCTTTCTGGTTTTTACCTTTAGCTGGTTCAGTACCGTACAAAGCCAGATACCCAGCTCTGAAGACCGTGTTGTAACAGAAGTGGAACAAGCCGTCTTCTTTCCAGGATTTTGGATCCTCTTTGGAGGTTTCTTGCCACTGGAGTAAGACAGCCTGTAAAGCATCCATCATGGCTTGAGTCATCACCACCAGGCCCTCTCCCTTCAGATGTTTCGTGCTGGAGACATCGATGATCTTGTGAGTGTCGTGGGAGGCTTCAAATCGAAACACCCTGAGGACCAGCTCAGCTGCAAATGAAATAAAGTCCAGTTTGCTTCGGGATTCCCTGATGATGCCACTGAAAGACAACGGGTCCATCAAGAAAGTGAAGTACTGTCCTGCAATCAAGGTGGTGAAGATGTCTCCATGTTTCTTCTGCATGCTTTGCAGGAAATCCAGATTGTCATTTCGGAAATGCAATGCATGTCCAAGCCAGGGAATGAGTCCTATGTCCAAAGGGGGTTCATTGGGTCGTCTTCGGCGGAAGAAGCCCATCAGGTAGAGGACCCCCAAAAGACCGACCACCAAGGCAACCACGACTGCCACCCAGAAGGACATCTTGAAGAGTGTGTGCAGTTCAGCGCAAGCAGCCTTTTTAACAGACAGGCTCTGGAGAAAAGTAGGCGTTTTGTGAGCCAAGGAGGAGTTTCACTTGATCAAACAAGCCAGGAATTGCAGTTAACCCTTGCAATGGGGAAAAAAAGGAAGGGAAGAAACCAACCTCAGTCCCTGAATGGGATTTCCACCAGAAAATCCCAGAGAAATCATTAGCAAACAGGAAGTGAGTTGGGCAGGACGTGTGCCTGTGTTTATTTTACATTTGAGAATGTGTTTTCCTGACCCAGTGCAAGCGTTAAGCACTCAAGGTGTGTAAACTGGAGTCTTGAGAACGAGGTGTAATCTCCTGAGAGAGGGAGACAGGAGAAATATAAATATTTGGAGGGAACCCATGAGCGGAAGAATGATGGTTGTCAGAGAGAGAGAGAGAGAGAGAGAGAGAGAGAGAGAGAGAGAGAGAGGGAGAGGGAGAGGGAGAGGGAGAGGGAGAGGGAGAGGGAGGAGAGAGAGAGAGGGAGAGGGAGAGGGAGAGGGAGAGGGAGAGGGAGAGGGAGAGAGGGAGAGGGAGAGGGAGAGGGAGAGAGAGAGAGGAGAGAGAGAGAGGGAGAGAGAGAGAGAGAGAGAGAGAGGAGAGGGAGAGGGAGAGGGGAGAGGGAGGGAGAGAGAGAGAGAGAGAGAGAGAGGGAGAGGGAGAGGGAGAGGGAGAGAGAGAGAGAGAGGGAGAGGGAGAGGGAGAGAGAGAAAGAGAGAGAATGTGATACTGCTTATCTCAGGATTATTGGGAAGGGGAATGCTTTTATTTTCTTTGTGTTCAAATAGAAATTGTCTACAATAAGACTTAGGTAGCTATAATTACTCCCCATTTATGGAGGAGGAGAGGAGGAGGAGGAGGAGGAGGAGGAGGAGGAGGAGGAGGAGGAGGAAGAGGGCTGACCTTCCATGCAGGAAATAATTTTACACAGATTGTTATCCGGAGGCTGGATTCTTGAAATCTGGTTGAGCAAGAATTGCACTGTTTACCTAAGAAGCTATCCTCTGCAGAAAAGAATTGAATTATCTTAACATGGCAGCCGTTCAATCAAAAGGGTTAAATGTGGGGCTCCCCCAAACTGGTTTGAAGAAAAGACACCAAAATGTGGGGGGAGTCATGATGATTTCAAGGGAAACTTTCACCCTGTAAAAAGCTTTGACTTCCTCAAAGTTAACCTGATCACTATGTTTTTGGGGTGCACCCTTTGAAATGTACCCCACAGATTCTAATATAAGCCTTAAAACCACGGTCCATGAACTTACCTTAAATCAGTGTATGTGGAGGCAGTCCTCTACATACAACAGTTCATTTAGTGACCATTAAAAGTTATAAAGGCACCGAAACAAGTGACTTATGATCATTTTTCACTCTTATAACCATAGCAGCAGCCCCTGTACTCATGTGATCAAAATTTGGATGTTTGACAACTGATACGTAGTTATGACATTGTAGTGTCCCAGGGTCACATGATCCCCTTTTGGGACTTTCTGCCAAGCAAAGCCAAGAGAGAAGCCAGCTTAACTGCAGTGATTCACTTTACAACTGTGGTAGGAAAGGTCTTAAAATGGGGCAAAACTCACTTAAAAATGTCTCAGCAAGATACATTTTGGGTTTAATTGGTTGTATCAGGATACCAGTGGTCCACAACACAGTAAAGCACACAAGACCTGCACTCAAAGGCAGAACAAGAAGCAACAGATGGAAACTAATCAAGGATAGAAGCAACCTGGAATTAAGGAGGAATTTCCTGACAGAAAAAATAACCAGTGAAACAGCTTGCCTCCAACACTGTAGGACAAGATAGACAATGAGGAGGAGAAGGAGGAGGAGAAGGAGATAGACAAGGAGGAGGAGGAGACAGACAAGGAGGAGGAGAAGGTGAAGTAGAAAGAGAAGAAGGAGGAGAAGGAGAAGGAGGAGGAGATAGACAAGAACAAGAAGGAGAAGTAGGACAAGTAAGAGAAGAAGGAGATAGACAAGAAGGAGGAGGTGGAGGTGGAAAAGAAGAAAACGGAGGAGGAAAAGGAGAGACAAGAAGGAGGAGAAGGAGATAGACAAGAAGGAGGAGAAGGAGATAGACAAGAAGGAGGAGGGGGAGAAGAAGGAGGAGGAGAAGGAGAAGGAGGAGAAGAAGAAGAAAGAGGAGGAGGAGATAGACGAGAGGGATAGGAGGAGGAAGAGGAGAAGGAAACAGAAGGAGGAGGAAAAGGAGGAAGAGATGGAGAAGGAGAAGGAAACGAAGGAGGAGGAGAAGGAGATAGGCAAGAAGGAGGAAGAGTAGAAGAAGAAGGAGATAGACAGGAAGATGAGGAGATAGACAAGGAGGACAAGAAGGAGGAGGAGGTGAAGTAGAAAGAGAAGAAGGAGGAGAAGGAGGAGGAGGAGGAGAAGGAGGACAAGTAGGAGAAGAAGGAGGTAGACAAGAAGGAGGAGGTGGAGGTGGAAAAGGAGAAGGCAACGGAGGAGGAAAAGGAGAGACAAGAAGGAGGAGAAGGAGATAGACAAGGAGGAGAAGGAGATAGACAAGAAGGAGGAGGGGGAGGAGGGGGAGAAGAAGGAGGAGGAGAAAGAGGAGGAGGAGATAGACGAGAGGGATAGGAGGAGAAGAAAGAAGAGAAGGAAAAAGAAGGAGGAGAAGGAGGAAGAGATGGAGAAGGAGGAGAAGGAAACAGAGAAGGAGGAGAAGGAGATAGGCAAGAAGGAGGAGGAGATAGACAGGAAGACAAGGAGATAGACAAGGAGGAGGAGGAGGAGAAGGCGGAAGAGAAGAAGGAGATAGACAAGAAGGAGGAGAAGGAGATAGACAAGGAGGAGGAGGAGGATACACACAAGAGGGATAGGAGGAGGAGAAAGAAAAAGAGAAGGAGGAGGAGGAGAAGGAGAAGGAAAAGGATCAGGAGAAGGAGGAGGACGAGATAGGCAAGAAGGAGAAAGAAAAGGAGGAGAAGGAGATAGACAGGAAGATGAGGAGATACACAAGGAGGAGAGGAGGAGAAGGAGGAAAAGAAGGAGAAGGAGGCGGAAATAGACAAGAAGGAGGAGATAGAGAAGGAGCAGGAGAATCAGGAGCAGGAGCAGCAAATAGACAAGAACAAGGAGGAGGGGACTTCTGGTTTTGTGCGATAGCTACCAGTCGCAGGCTTGCATTTTCTCCACACCCCCGTGGCTACTTTCGCCCTGCCTGGGGACCCTAAATGGGTCTAAGTCGCCCCGGAGAGGCGACAAAGAAAGAAGGGTACTCCAGTGATTCTGGAATGGAGCGGCCATTCAGTTTGACTTGGGGAAAGCCTTCTAACCCATTAAATTGTTTGAATGGTTAAGACACTCATTTTAAAGATAATTGTTTATTTTGGAAATTGAAAAACAAATAGTTGCTGACACCTAGTGCTGGATGAAGACTATGACAGCTATGACTTTAATGTAAGACATGGCAAAACCTGGGAAAAGCTACTCTGTGTCTGTGACTTTCAAAGTCTTAACAACAAAGAACAGCTGTGACAAAAAAGAGACAATAATCTGGGCTGTAGACAAAGAGAGAATTATAAATTTCAGAAAAAAAATCTTTCTTGAACTATTTGGATTACAAATATCCATAGCTGGCTGACCGGCCGTATTCAGCGTATGGTCCTCAATGGAACCGCATCTATATAGAGGGAAGTGTGTAGTGGGGTGCCCCAGGGCCCTGTTCTAGGCCCAGTGCTCTTCAATATCTTCATCAACTATTTGGATGAGGGGATAGATGGGGAATTCATCAAATTTGCAGACGACACCAAGCTGGCAGGAATAGCCAACACTCAAGAAGATAGGCTTAGAATACAGAAGGATCTGGACAGACTAGAACACTGGGCACTTTTATGTTTTTGGGTCGCAGGCATTAAATGAAGACACATGGTGAACATCAAGCTTTCTTTATTGACTTCTCCTTATAATCAGCAACAACCCAAAAGGCATGCAGGCCTTTTATACTGTCCTAAACCTGGACAGCGTCAACCAATAAGAATCTGGCTGTTTTTGCACCTTGCGCATGTGCGCAAGGCTGGCGACAGCCAGTATGGTCCCAGGCAGCTTTTGGTCTGCCCGGGACCATTTGCAATATTTCTGAGCCTGCTGAATGCTTCAGCAGGCTCAGGACAAAACACCCCTCCTCCCTAGATAAAACAATATACCTTATGATGTAACAGCATAGGTACATGTGTTCAAGGGACTGGGGGTTAATGGAAATCACAATTGCCTGCACACAGGCAAGCACTCTTACATATACAATGATTCAGAAAAAAATAGAACAAATAAGCTGAAGATAACACCCCTTCACTGAGTGTTTGCTCTGCATCTTGTTTAAGGACTAGTAAGGTTCCCTTAGAATTGACAGAAACCTCACATAGTCCTCAAGATGTTTAGGTGGTCCCTTGGCCCCTTGTGACCTTCTGATGGCTGGTGAGTGTGCCTGGCCTGCCAGCTTGCCTGCCAGGCTAGGCAGACCAGGACTTTGATGCCCCAGGGACCCAGATGACCCACCCAGCTGCTGACTGGCTGGACCCTCTAAGCCCGAGCCAGAGTTCCTTGGGGAGGTAGAATTCCCAAGTCACGTGGTAGGATGGTATTTCCCAAGTCCACAATGGACTTCTCTTTGGAGCACTGTCCCTCAAGCCCAAGACCAATAGCTGGAGTGGTCTGAGTGGCGGTTGTGCCCCAATACCCCGTGGCCCCCATGTGTGTGTCGGAGGTGCCAGAGTCAGGAGCCACCTCCATGGCAAACCCCCTTTCAGGAAAATTCCTGTTTGGAGCACTTGCTGAAGCCTGGGATGACCCCTGATTAGGAATAACTGAATTCTGTGAATGTCCCATTCTGCCACGGGAACATGTACTGTAGCATGTGAGAAACCGCTGGAGCTGGGAGATTGTGGCCCAGAATGCAAATTATGGTCCTCTCCCCCCCCCATCCGAGAGCAAAGTCAGGTGCAGAAACGTTGCTTGAGAGCCTCCAATGCAGTTGGTCTATGTGTCA